TGATTCTGCCTATGTTAAGCTATCTCTTTCAAGTTCTGCTTACAGGGATATCACATGCGGCCTCTGAATACCGGCAGACTATACTGTATATATATGAATTTTATCAATAGTTCCAAGAAGCAAGAGTATCTCAAGCATGTTGTAACTGTGTAAACAATTACTTAATTTTTACTTAAATCTTATGGAGCGGTACTAGGTCAGATTATACCTTCCTTGGGAAAGACTATTATTTTGTTCTTGTTTTTCCATATTCTTTCAATAAATTTTTTAAAACTGCAGTCAGTCCCCATTTCAATATCACACCAGCGAGCCATTCCACAGAATAGGAAGAGTGAGGCAAGCAAGATCGTTAACACCAAGAGCAGAAACCTGAAGGTTCTGATAGGGTTTGATAAATAACTCCTGCTCCCACCTAGATCAACCTGGATCACCTGCACAAGCCAGGAGGTGAGGCTGAGGAGCCTAACGCCGAGGGAGGCCCGGAAGGAAAGGACACGAAATCGGGCCTTCTCGGCGGTGGCTCCTCACCTCTGGAATAACCTTCCTCCGGCGATTCGTGCAGCCCCTACGCTGGGCACTTTTAAGAGCCAACTAAAAATATGGTTGTACGTTCAGGCCTTCCCTCCTGTCAATACTTAATTTGTTTTTTTTCCCCTTTCATTTATTATTTGTTTTATTACTGCATGTGTTACAGACTGTTTGTAAAATCCTTATGTTTTATTGCATGCTCCTTTATTGGAAGCTGCCCAGCGTGGTCGACCAGACCAGATGGGCGGGATATAAATCAAATGAATGAATAAAATAAATAAATAAATAAACAAAGGGTCTTTTAAGCCCACATTTTTCTGCTAGAGCAGTGGTTCTCAAACCTGGGTTTGATGTTCTTGGATTGCAACGCCCAGAAATCCTGGCCAGCTTAGCAAGTGGTGAAGGCTTCTCAGAATTGCAGTCCAAGAACATCTGGGGAGCCAAGTTTGAGAACCACTGTGCTAGAGTAGCAGCCCACTCTACAGAAAGAGGAAGCTGATGGAGAAAATGGTGCAAGAGAAATATACTTCTCTCTCTCTCTCTCTCTCCCTTATTAATTTTTGCCTACTGCTGTTCATTTAAGTAAAAACTTGGCCTGAGGTGTCACCACTATTAATGTGGCTTTGTGGCTCATATTCATCTAGCCATTCCAGAAAGACGAACTTTGGAAGAAAGGTGGCTATGGGGTGACATTTAATGTTGACAACAAGGAGATTATATGGGTAGGAAATTAACTACTCCAAATGGAGGACAATCAATGTCTTACAGAGTTGCACATGACCACATATGCCATTTGGGATTTCTCCTGGACTCAGTTCTCATAGGGCAATCTAAGGATAACGATAAGCTGCTGGATAGCTCAGTAGTTTAGGTATGGTTGTTGTGGGTTTTTTGGGCTCTTTGGCCGTGTTCTGAAGGTTGCTCTTCCTAATATTTTGCCAGTCTCTGTGGCCGGCACCTTCAGAGGACTGGAGTAGCACTCTGTGCTCTGGTGCAGTTTGTTTGGAAGTTGAGTATTTATAGCTGTGGGATCAGCTTTTGTCCTTTTCAGGAGATGGTGATTATGGTGATCAGTGTGTTTTTGTTGTGGGTGTATTGTTGTGATAAGGAGGAGAGATTATCTGTCACTGT